TATTACAAGCTGTGAAGAAATTTTTTTACGTAAAACGCTTCGTGAATAAACGGAACCTACTTAAGTGGCTAAGTAGCACGCTTGTCCATCCGTGATTCATCTCAGTGCACATGAAATCAATTTCCAATATTAATTAGATTGATGAGTTAAGCTTTCGATACAAGTTGTATCTGGATGTTGGTGGTTTACATCGGCTAAATTTAATCATTAAAATATTTTCTGAAAGTTGTCAATTTACTCAATTTCAATTGAAATTTCTATAAATGTGACCATGCAACGTTATTTGCAAATAAAACTTTAAATCATAGAAACTTTAAAACATTTTATTTATTAACGTTGATTATGTCGCTGATATAGAAAATGCTAAACCTATAAATTGGTCTAATGTTAAACGCTTCTAAATAAATATGCGCAGGATTTAATTTGCATAATGGAAATAGATTTTTTATTCATCCATTCATTCATTCATAGAACATAGTGAGAAGGATATGGTGAGCTGTCTTTACTACCTGCTTCCATGTCTGATGTCAACTTTATTTGTTCACTTAATCAACAATTTGCGCCTCCTTCTAGTAGGAGGTTTGACATGTCAAGTTTAAGAAGTCGTCATAATTCTGTAGATATGGAGAAAACATCTAATTGGCAATTTCATCAGCACCAATCCAAATATTGATTGGCAGGGAAAGTGAAAATTGATCGCAACGAGAACGAGAATGTATTTCATAAATTTAAATTGATGCGATCACAAGAATGAAATATCAAACATAAATAATTTTCCGATCAAAGTTCAAGTAACTATTTTTAAAAGACTTGATGCGACCGAATAAAGTCAACTTTTATAGCCTGTTATTCCTGCGTGCAGTCACGTTTAAATTAACTGCCAAATATGACAAAATAATTTTGCAAACATCCTTGTTCATTTTGTTCAGCTAAAATCTCTAAAATTAAATTTATCTGCCCTCTATAGCCGCTGCTCTATAGCAACGCTACAGCCAACTTTAAAATAATACCCCCTTTGTGGAGCATAAAGCCAACTAGAGAACTAATGATAACTATCAAAACGCCTGTCATTTGATATAAATATATAACTTTATATGTTTTTATATTGTAAAAAATGTTTGTTTAAGAAACTGCGTTTTAATTACCTGTTTAATAAAATTATTCGTTTCTTTGGTAGTTCAATTAGATTAAAACCTCGCATATCAGTAGATTATTTTATAATCATAAACTTTATCAACATGTTTGTTTAAATGAAATATGAGACATTGAAATTGCGAGATTCTTTGCAATAGAACATTAACATAACCTTTATATGATTTGTTTCAATACCTCTTGTTTGATTTCCTAACATCTCTGTAATTTTGGTATAAATCTTATACCATTTGAATAAGACTTAAGTTCCTCAGTTACCTGTTTGCATTTCAAGCAGTTCCCCATATTTGCATTTATACTTTCACGTCATGTCGAAACCACAATTTATTGGCATATTTTTCTTCATTTCCTGCATTGGCAACTTTATTTGTGTGGCTGTAATTATAAGGATTGAAGTTGGCAAGCAATGAATAGATTCACGCCATCTTTCCCAGATGCTCCCACATGGAGAAATGTGGCTCAACCTAAAATTTGGAAGACTTTCAATAAATGGCATCAAAATGTTTTCATGTCTATTAACAACGTGTGAATCGTACATATAAGGTATGAACAGTTTACGACGCAACAACAAATTGACATTCTTGTCGACTTCAAATAGCATCTGCCTCTAACAGATAAATAAAGTCTCGTTCAATTATAATATAGAAGTTACAAATTTAGAGGACCACATTTGTGGCAATAATTATGCAAATGAAATCCAAAACGACGGCTACAAATTATTTTGAACTGTTGCGGATGAATTTAATTTCGCTAAAATATTTCGAATAATGTTTGACTTATTGCATTGTGTATATTTTAATGTTTAAATTTACTGAATCGCCTGCTCTTTATTCAGTTTCGTAATTTAAATAATGTAAAATGATCGAATAAATTATTCCACGTGAAAACAACTTTGTAAACTTTTTTCCATGTAAACAAGCGTATTTCACATAAATAATGTTGCACCAAAATCGAACAAGTGCATTTAAATTCGAGCAGGTCCTTATCGATTAATAATCAATGCACGTTTGGAAAAAAATTGACTCAATGAAAATCTCATTTAAAAATGATAAACGTGGTATTCTAAACGATAATTAGTTCGTCCACAATTTCTACTCCTTTTGATTCATTAATTTTACAGGCGAAGTATTTCTGCATGTAAATATCTGATTTTTAAATCTTGATAATTTAACTTTTAATACTTCCACCTTCTAAATGAACAACGTTGACTCATTCGCATACTTCTCAAATGTAAAATAGTAATCAATGTTAGATAATTCAATGACCAAATATCTATTCCTTAAAAAGCAATTTTAAGTTATAAAGCTTTTTTGCGAAATAATGGAGAGCAGTAATCATAAAACAATGGAAAAATGAATAAATAACAAAATATTCATTACTCTCTAATGCTTTAAAGCCAAGCTATTGAACAAAAGTAAAAAGAACACAAATTAATCAGAAGGCAAATGTAATATGGGTTGGAAATTTGACAAGTGACAACGCTTACCAATTATGCACCTCGAGTTAATTAGATAAATCCTTAAGGATTTTAATGACCTCTTTTTCTCATCAATTATACGTAGAGAATTGGAATTAACCTTGCCAGTAATGCCATCAGAAATTTTAAAGTCTAGTGGTTCTATACTCTTTAATGATAATAAATATGGAAATTCAAGTTTGAATAAACAGGGAAAATTTATAATAATAATAGTCATATAGCTGAAATCAAAACCGAAATGAATTGTTTTGAAAATCCAAATGTGATCGCTGTCCCTTGAGACAATCAATGTCAACTATCCTGCAGATCAATTTCTCGAAATCTTCAATGATGGGCCATGCGATGAAAACCAAGCTGAAACCAACTAATAGACTAATGATAAATATCATAAGGCCTGCCATTTGAAATTAAATTTATATATTATTTATTTTTGTTGTTATGCTTTTAAAGTTTTATTTTGTTACAAAAGCAGATTCAATAACGAAGTGCATTCTGAAGCATATATAAAATGCACTACCACTACTTATTCATTTAAGTATAAATGAATAACAAATAATTAAAAATATATCCACAACCCTCTATTTGGTTCCAATAGCTTGATTTTGAAGCGATGGTTGGTTGTTGAAAAATCGATTTGACTTTTAAAATAAGCTTACTATTTTACATAATAGTATAAAGCTTACATAATATTTGGTAGCAGCGGTAAATTAATCCTAAAATTTCAGTCTCAGGAGTGCAGAATTGACTTTTACCGGCTGCAGAATAAACATCCAAAAAGACATAATGAGGGTTAGGGATGTTTTCGCTTGAAGCTGTTTGCATTTGCTTTTCATCTCAATGACCAAATGAGATGCGTTATAACATAAGTGGAAAATTTCAACTTCTTATTTCAAAGTCATTTTCTTGAATAAGCATTTACTCCATATGCTACGAGTCATTGAAACCAAGATTAAAAGTAATCATTCGCGCACAAATAGGATTTAATGTCGAAATGCAAAATGCATATAGTGAAAGCGTGAATGTTGTTTCCATTTCAACAGTGTACAGTGAAGGCGCTAATTTTTAAGAGCGTTCCATAAATTCAAAGCAGTATTGTGCTTTTTTTGCAAGCTTTGGCTTTGATTCTTGTTGCGGAAATATATTGCTGCATTAACAGAAACGAGTTAACGTACAATTTATTCCATCGGATTTTTACCCTGCACCAAATGCAACCTAAGCGAGTATCAAACACCAAGACCACCACGCCGGCATATTCCAACAATAATAATAATGCCATTAATTCCAACGACATAGCCTTCTACCATGGCGACCTTTTTTTTATTGGCTAACAAATGAGTTCAGAAAATGTATCCCTTGAATTATTTCAAAGGCCAATTGTTAAGAATAACATTTGTTTTTATAGTAGGAAAATCGACTAGACTTTTGAAATAAATTTACTTTTTTTGTAATTTTTGACAGATGCAACAACGAATATATAATAATGATAATAATAATGTGGAGCAGTATTCATAATGGAATGAAAAGAATGATTAAATAACAAAATATTCAATCCTCTCTAATGCTTTGAAGCCAAGCTATTGAACAAAAGTAATAATAACACAAATTTAACAGAAGGCAAATGTAATTAGGGGTGGAAATTTGACAATAGATTATGCACCTCGAGTTACTTAGATATATCCTTAAGGATTTTAATGACTACTTTAACCTTGCCAAAATTGCCATCAGAAGTTTTAAAGACTAGTGGTTCGATACTCTGTAATGATAATAAATATGGAAATTCAAGTTTTAATAAAGAGGGAAAATTCATAATAATAACAATCATATAACTGAAATCGAAAACGAAATGAATTGTTTTGCTGTCCCTTGAGACAATTAATTTCAACTATCCTGCAGATTAATTTCACGAAATCTTCAATGATGAATCTTAAAAGATGGGCCATACGATGAAAACCAAGCAAAATTTTGTGCAGATGTTTTTTCCCAACACTTCTCTTGCAACGCAGCTGCATGACACAATAGATCTGCCTTCGAAATGGAAATAGAGGCCATGCAACAACTAAATCTATGATGTTGTTTGCGTACGAAATTCACCAAAGAGGTAATACTTTCGGACTCACAGTCAGAAATAATATAAATTGAAGAAATGAACCACCCAAAACAGCTGAGAGATACAAATGTAAAAACCATATCAGTAGCTTAGAGTAAAACACAAAACCGTTGTCGTGGAATAGATAACCGATCACTGTGACATTAAAGGCAATGAGATTGCTGACGCATTTGCTAAGAAGGGGACAAGAATTATGCAAGGCATAGACTGGCCGAGGACTTTCCACACAATGAAGACCTTAACCAGGTGAGAATTCCAGAACCAATGTGCAACGAACTTAAAGCTCGAACAAATGAGAAACAGTATACAGTGGCACACTCCGACATTGCCGATTGGCCACGAGTAGAAGCCGTTGCTGAGTTAAGACTACGTACCGGACAAGATGACATGTCAGAGCACCTTCAAAGATTAGGCGAAATCACTCAATCAACGTGCATCCTACGTAAACTACAAGAGGAAATTGGGATGACCCACCTAATTCGATGTCCAGCTAAAAAGAAAAAGACGAAAACGGCTAGATACTGCGTAGAGAGAAGGCAACGAATGTAATACTATAAAAGAAATTTTTACACATGGGGAAAGCTGAAATCATTAATGACGCCAATGATAAATGTCATAAAGCCTGCCAAGTGAAATTAAAAATATATTTTTTCCTTATTGTTATTATGCTTTTAAATTTTTATGTTGTTACACAACCAGATCCAACACTGAAGTGTATTCTGAAGCATATATAAAATTCACTACCACTACTTATTTCTATAAGTATAAATGAATATCAAATAATTTAACATATACCATAAAGCTAAATTTTAAAAATAGATTGGACTTTTAAAATAAGCTTAATATTTCGTAAACATTGACTAGCTCAAACGGAACATTATACTTCAAGTGAGGATTTTGGGAGCATAATGTTTGGTAGCAGCGGTAATTTAATCCTGATTGAAAATTCAGTTTCGGGAGTGCAGCCTTGACATTTATTGGCTGCCCAATAAACTTCCAATAAAGTGTTGTCCCCCAAAGACACTATGAGGGATTGGAATGTTGCGCTTGAAGAATTTTGCATTTGATTATCACTTCAATGACCGCATAAGATGTGTTATTATTGTAGTAGAACATTTTTATTTCTTATTTCGAAGGCATTTTTGTGAAAAAATTATTATTTTCATTTGTTACGAGACATTAAAATCAAGATTAAAAGCAATCATTGGCACACAAATATGATCTAATTTCGAAATGCAACATGCATATAGCGAAATCGTGAATGTTGTTTCCATTTCAACAGTGTACAGTGAAGGCGCTAATTATTAAGAGCATTCCATAAATTCAAAGTAGTATTGTGCATTATTGTAAGCTTTGGCTTTGATTCTTGTTGCGGAAATATATTGCTGCATTAACAGAAACGAGTTAACGTACAATTTATTCCATCGGATTTTTACCCTGCACCAAATGCAACCTAAGCGAGTATCAAACACCAAGACCACCAGGCCGGCATACTCCAACAATAATAGTAATGCCATTAATTCCAATGACATAGCTTTCTACCATGGCGACCTTTTTTGAATTGGCTAACAAATGCGTACAGATAATGCAGCTCTGGTATTATTTCAAAGGCCAATTGTTAAGCATAACATCTGTTTTAATAGTAAGAATATCAATATTAAGCAGTATTTAGCCATTAATGCCTTAAGATAGAAGATTAGATTTAGCGAAATCATTTCAATGTCTGCCTTTACATGATCTTTGCGATAAACATGGCCATTGACGTCTTCAAATAAGTAAATAAGAATTAATTCCCACAAAACAATTTCTCCCAATTGCCAATAATGACCTATTTTTCAGTAAAGTAACCCTAGAAATTGACCACTTATTTTGAGCAATTATGAACAACTAGCAATTGAATCCGAACGCGCCTTGAATTGTATCTTGTGTGATAATGTTGTTAACGGTCAGGTTAATCATATCTCGCCTCACATAAGTCTCAAATCCTAACTTCCCTATAAATTATTTTTCAAGAATTATTGCTTTCCAGTAAGGAAGTACTGGCATATCGACAACGTATCTGATATTACCATATTACCTTTATTCAAATTTAGTACTATTCTTGAATGTAATTTTCACATCTTGATAGAAATGGAGATCTGCGTAAAAACGTTTTGCTACAAATTTCAGCAGCCAATTTGAGAAACGGCTGCATGCAAAAGAACTTAGCTGTTGCATCCAAATCCATTCTTTTGCAAACAGGCTCTTCACAATATCTTCATTAATAGCAGCCAAACTTATAGAGAGTGTCACAGGTATCAGGTGCTTACCTTATGCAGATGGTCTTGTTCTATTGCATTCCGCTCCTAAGAACAACCCTCAAAAGAAGACGGAAAGTGTTCTCAATTATGCACTTAAACGAATAGCAAACTGGTGCAACAACAACGGAATGCTTATCAACACCACGAAAACTGCATTTCAAACATTTTCTTTGGCCTGTCACAGCATGAACCCGCTTCTTAAATGCAAGGATACTACCCTAGAAAACCTACGAGCTCCCTTATCTCGGACTTACGTTTGGCACAAAGCTAACATGGTAAAATCACATTACTAAAATAGCAGAACGAATATCAAATTGACTGAATTCACTGATGCGTCTTACTGATAGTGTATGGAACTGCGCATGCTCAACATTAAACACCAATTACAAGATGTTAATTCAGCCAATAATGTAGCATAGCCCTGAGCCACTCATTTTACCCATAGAGGTGACTCTCAAACCACTCGAGAAGGCACACAATCAAGCATTTATTTATTTATTTTTTTTATTATTTTAAATCAAATGGCAGGCGCCTTGATGATTACCATTAGCCCTTTAGTTGACTTCAGACTTCACAGAGTGGAAAGAACATCAAATTGAAAAAAAATCGAGATGAGGTGTGGGAGGAGAAACAGAAAAGTGTTTCAAAGATGTGTTGCATCCAACTGCTTGGCCACTTCAGAAAAGCAAACACTACTTCAGAACAAATGCTTTCACTGGCCGATTGGGGCAATCAATGTGAACTGTTATGCACATCAATGGCTCGAAGTCTTCACTGATGAGGCGTACGTAGGAAACCAAGCAAACCTTAGTGCAAATGCTTTCTCTCAACTATTTGCTTTCTTTGCAGCTGAAAGACACTATAGATCAGACTTCAAATGGGAAATTGTGGCCATTGCAATAATACTAAGTAAATTATGTTTCCTTGATACAAAATATACTAAAAGCAGTAATTCCTGCGTCCATAATGTCAGCAATAATCTTAAATGGAAGCCAATAGCCGCCCAAAACAGCTGAAATATACGATTGTAAAGTCAGTATTAGTTGCTGAGATTAAAATGCGAAACAGTGATCCTACAAGGATTCCTTGTCACTCTGGCATTAAAGGCAATTAACCTGCTGACGCACTTGCTCAGAAGAGGACAGCAATTAAGCAAAGCTTAGACCGGCCGATGTTTTCCACACCATGAAGACCTTAATATAGAGAGCGTTCAAGGTGCAACAAACTTAAAGCTCGAACAAAGGTGAAATAGAAGACAGTGGCACTCTCTGACATAAAAATTGGCCAATAATCGAAACTGTTGCTGCGTTGAGACTACGTACCGCACAAGATTTCCTGTTAAAGCACCCACTTAGATAAAGGGCTGACACTGAACCAACATGTTATCAAGTAACCTACAAGACTAAATTGAGAAGACCCACCTGATTCGATGCCCAGCTATAAAGATAATGACGAAAACACAGAGATACTGGGAAGAGAGAGGGCAACTAATGTACTACTAAAAAAAAAATTTTACACATTGGAAAAGCTGAAATTAACTATGAGGCCAATGATAAATATCATAAAGCATGCCATTTGAAATGTAACTATATAATTTCGTTTTATTATTGTGCTTTTAGTTTTTTTATGTTATTACAAAAGCGGATTCAACAACAAAGAATATTCTGAAGTAAATTTAAAATCACTACTACTCATTCATTTAAGTAAAAATGAATATAAAATAATTATAAATATAACCAATTTTTCTTTTTTGATTCAAATTGCTAAATTTTGAAACAATGCTTGGGTGTTCGAAAAGCGGTTAAACTATTAAAATAAGCTAACTTACATTCAAATATTGACTAGCTCAAGTAGCACACTATACTTCAAGTGGGAATTTTGGGAGCACAATTTTTGGTGGCAGCGGGTTTTATACGCGATCTTTTGAGTTTCCGGAGTGCAGCCTTGAAATTAATTGGCTCCCAAATAGACACCCAATACAGTGTTGTCATAACAAAGATTTAGGAAGTTATCGCCTGAAGATGTTTGCATGTGATTTTCACTTCAATGAACACTTGAGATGCGTGACAATTGAAGTAGAGAATTCTAACTTCTCATTTCAAAGGCATTAACTTGAATAATAATTTATTCCATTTAACACGAGTTATTAAAATCAAGCTTGCAAATAATTCTTCGCGCGCATATAAGACCTTTGGCTCAATCCTTAAGAATGTTCAAAATAAGTAGGGACATTTAATTAAATCAATATGCTGAATGTGTTGGTTTATTTATTCCACAAAATGGATGGTTGAAATGAAATTGTAGTTACAATCATATCAAGTTTACAGTTGCCTTCACTAGGTCTATCCAAATGAATCGTGTATATCTTATCTTAACGATTTGTGCATTTCGAAAATTCGAATTTGTAAACCTTTAAAAGTCCTACTGATCAGGATTTCCAAATTGTAAATTCAAACTAAGCTGCATCGGAAAGTTGTTAAAAGTTATTTTCTTCCACGCCAATGCCTTGTATAAATTCCGCACCAATTAACTTATTACTTGCCAGTTAAGTAAATCCGATTTATACAAGGATAATTGTATAAAAAGAGAAAAAATCGTTTATGCAAAAATCTGGTTTTGGAAATTTTGTGTGACGAGATATGATTAAACTGTGCGTTAACAGCATTTTTAAATGAGATACAATTCTAGACGCATTCGGAATAAATTGCTAATTGTTCATAATTTCAAGGGTTACTTTACTGAAAAATGGGCCATTATTGGCAATTGTGAGAAGTTGTTTTGTGGATACTTATTTATATTTACTAATTCGTAAAAATCCAATTTGAAAAAATTGTACGTTAAATGTTAATTCAACAATATATTTTCGCAACAGGTACTCTTTCTATAAATAACGCCTTCACTGTTCACCGTTGAAATGGAAACAACATTCACGCTTTCACCATTTGCATGACGCATTTCAATATTAGAAATGCTTTCCATAAAGTAATTTTACAGGAAATCTGTTTCATTAATTTATGAAAATTAAAATAGGAACTGGAAATTTACAACTTCCGCATCAATTTTACATCGATTAAATTTCTACTTATCCCTTTAAGTAGAATGAATTTTTTCGTCATCTAAATACGAGTAAATGAGCCGTCTTAATCTGTACACATTCAAACATTATAATTATTATTTCAAATCGAGGATTTCGTGTTATTTATCATTAGCCCTTAAACTTTGATATCAGCTTCTTTTCACAAAAATGCC